GTTGAAGAAGCAAAGCAGCGCGCCATGGACAGTTGGACAAAACCTAGAATCCTGGCGCCCTTTTGAGCAGCGAAAGTGGGGAAATTCCATACGAGCAAGACGAGTTCAATTTATAATCTTTATTTGCTTCAAGCTGCTTAGTGAAAGAAGTCATTTATTTTTGTACTGGAATGTGAATATCTTGATTTGGGGAAAACGCTGTATGAAAAGATTGGTGTCGGATTGAGCTTGCTTATGAGAGTTTTGTTGAGCTGCTCCTCGCAACAGTATCTAAAACTACAGTAATTTCAGAGACAGCGATAGAGATGAGTCTTTATTTCACTACCTGGGATTTGTGATCATTTTGTACCATCAAAACCTTGGGTTCAATGGCACCGTAGCAGCAACCATAGTAGCAAAGATTGGATGGTACTCCTATCACTCGAACTTCTATCCATTTACCTAGCGGCGCCTGAAAGGAAAATTAAGCTGATAGCTTTGAAGACGACCTAGATTAACTCCTAATGCGAATACAGTATTGTAGAGGACCTACAACGACTGCGCAACCATGCCACCTCTTGCCCCTCTGCCTTATTCGTTTGGTTCATTTCCCCGCTTCAGAATTGGCATGTATGTAGCCAGTTTACCATATGGTGAGATGGGAGTGATGGCGTGGGCAAGGAAGCAGACCTAGAGCAGTGGGGCTGGCCGGTCTTCACATTGCCACAGAAACCTCTAGATGTAGAAGGCTAGATGAAAAGGTAAACCTACTTATGTGAGCGAGATCTCACCTTTTTCCAGTGGTTACACATTCTGTGAGCTTGGTCGCGCCAGCTAAAGAAGTATTCACGAAAATCCCTGAAAACACTGCTTGGTTGTCATCTTACCCGTTGATCACAAAATTCGTCGCCATAAACGTACGGGCAAAGGCACACATCACACTGTCTAGGATTCGGAACGCGTCCTTTGAGCAAGTGGTCCTATTAAAACCTGAGGCGCAACACGACCTGTAAAAACATCATAAGTAGAAGTTTATATTGACATTGTAGTAAGTAGTACACCGTTTTGACGTCCTTCAAGGCTGAAAGCATAATTCGCGACTACTCAGAGAAATCAAATCGAGAAATCAGAAGCTTTCTGAAATGTATTAGTGTATGATTGCGTGTAGGAGAGGGAGGGCAAGAGGTGGAGTAAGGAGTGGGAGGAGCATGGTACAGGTAGTGTGCAGAACACAGTCGTATCTCAACAGAAAACGGTAAGGCAGCTTCGCTAAGGTATTAGGTTGTCCGGAAAGTTCTCAGCGTTTTGAGTGTTTCACTTTAAACGATCATAACTTTCTTAATACTCATCGGATTCAATCGAAATAAGCACCATTCGAATCAGCACACTTTTGCCAATGTGACAGCAGTCGAGAAATCCCATCAAAAAAAAACTGGGTGGTCGAGAATCCACGAAGGCTTTTTTGCCTGGTCCTGATTGATGAAGTATTTTCCAGCAAGGAAGTTCTGAAAAAAAGGTGATAGTCGGTTGGCGAAAGGTCTGAAGAATATGGCGGGTGAGGTAGAACTTCAACCCCAATTCGTTCAATTTATGGATAGTGATTTGTGAAACGTGTGGGCGGGCGTTGTCATGCAAAAGAATCGGACCCTTTCTGTTGACAAGTGCTGGCTGCAGCTGACGCAATTTTCGGTAAGTTCGTCGATTAGGACTCTGCTGTGATGGTTTGGCCTGGTGACAAAAAGTTATAGTGGATCACACTAGCCCACGACCACCCAGGGCACAGCATCGTTGTGTGAAACACAAGGGGGGGGGTCGTACTTTTGCTCTGGGGAGGGGGGTCGTATTTGTTGGAGACAAATTTATTTTGATAGTTGATTTTTTCTTGTGGAAAAGGGGGGGTCGTATTAATTTTTTGTTTATATGCATTATATGCACCCTGTACACCCGCCGGATATTTTCGCCGACTATATACTCATCGCTCGTCAGTCGGCGAAAGAGCCGGTCGAGCTGAGGGGGGGGTCGTACCAACGGGGAAAAAAAGGGGGGGGGGTCGTGGCGCGGACCCCATTCGGAGGGGGGGGTCGTACTCACACCGACATTTCGCCTATCCCTATGCTGTACCCTGTGACCACCACACTGTGACCATAATCTTTTTTTCGTGAGGATTCGGCTTTGGAAATTGCCTCGGTGGTTCGTCGGCCAGCCACTGTCCGGAACGTCTTCCTGTTATCATACATGATCCACTTTTCATCACAGGTGACAATTCGGTCCAAAAACGGGTCGTTCTGTTGCGCAAAAGCAGTGAAGAAGAAACCTCGAGACGTGCCAATTTCTGCCGGTCACTCAAATTGTGGGGCACCCACTTGTCGAGTTTTTTCACCTTCCCAATGCGTTTCAGACCACAGTGGATTTGCCAACGCCTAGCTTTTCTGCAATCTCTCGAACTGTTTGGGATGGGTCAGCCTCCACAAATGCCTTCAAATCTTCGTCAGGTATTGCTTTAGGTCGACCGCTACGAGGTTCATCTTCAAGGCTGAAATCTCCAGAACGAAATTTGTCGAACCATTGTCGCACGGTGCTTTCTCCAACACTATTGGGCCCCCACACCTGGTTAATTTGCTGTCTCGACTGCGGATTGACCCAATTTGTAGTTGAAGAACAATATCGTCCGAAGTTGCTCTTTTGACATGCTTGAAAAACTCTTGAAAAAGGGGGTCAATCAAGCAATGGTGAAACGGCAATTATACCATCAGATAGCGCAAAAATTCTCTTCAGGATGTACTACTGAGACGCAAGGGAGAATGAGTTTTTAATCAGCAATGAATGTACAAAAAATAGTAACACAAAACGCTGAGAACTTTCCGGACAACCTAATAGTACTTTTGTGGCGACGCCAACTGAGTCTTGCTCGCTGCGGATGATGGGGCGTGCCTGGATTTCACACAGATTTTGATTTCACACAGCATGTGCCCACTCGAGACGTAGCGTTTTTCACAGAGCTCGAGCAAAAAAAAAACCAAAGAACAAGAAATGCTCCTCAAGGTAGAGAACGACCCTTCTCTATCAAGGCCAAACACGACCCTCTATTGTGCTTTTCACAACGGATGGTCAGGGCACGAACGCTGAGAATTCACCAGCCGGGTCTTGTTTGATCGCTGGAGGGAGATTTGCGTGGCCCAGTGGATTTTTTAGCTAATTTTTCTTGTTTCGCTATCCACAACGTTGGGAGACTCCTAGTGCGGGGATGGGGGTTGTGCCTCCTTTCAAGAAAACTTATTTCGTGCTTGGAAGAAACCTTTCTTGGTCTTTGACTTTTCGCGCTAGTGGACTGGAAAAAATGGTAGGTAGGATGGTGGTCATACCAGAGGAAAAAATTGGGGTTGGGGAAAAGGCGTGAGGTCGCATTTTGAGAAACTTTTCCCCAGCGGCACAGCGTGCCCTGACTGGAACTCAATTTGCTTTCACTCTTGACGATAGAACAGCTTCTTGTGATTCCGCCTAAGGGCGCGTTAGAAATGGAAATAAAATTTCCTTGAAAACCTTCCTTTGAAAATTCATCAAGAAAAAACTTACATCAGTCATGGTTATCATATAGGCCATTCAGAATTGTAACATAAAATCAGGTGATTTATATTCTATATTGATATCTTTCTTTGATAAAATATGGATTATGACTGGTAGTATTGAGAAAAAGCTTCGCAACTCCTCGTTCCTTGTTAGTTCAGCGCATAGGAGCTGCAACACAGCGTTGTTCATTAGCACCTGGAGCTTGTCATTTGGCACTAAACTGCGAAACGTGGCAATATCCCGGCAAAAGGAAGGGGTGGCTGTGGGCGCCATCTAAACATAGCATAGGACGTACTCAGTGACACTTTTTCGCTCGAGACATGGGCCATGTTAAATCATTAGGGTAATTGAGTAATTAATTTTTAGAAATGTATCTACTGGAAACGAGTGCAGCACCATATTCTAAATATTTTACAGTTGTACGTAACCACTTGGGAGCGTTCCAGGCGCTTCAGGGGCATTTGGGATAGGTAGGTTATGTACGTAGGACATTCGTGTTCTATAGGGTTGCTAAGTGAGGCGGAGGCGGTAGAGGGAAAAGTGGCACGCTTAACCCTCGCTCGATCTTGGGTTCCAATCCCGCCGAGGCCAACCAAGCCTTCTAAATGGTCAGGTACAAAATGGTTCGCTAAAAGCCATTTTCAAGCTGTCCGAAGAAGTTTTGCTACATGGTCATGTCGATTACAGTTTGGGAGCTGCATCCAAAATAGAATACAAAAAAGAAATATTGTGAAAAAACTTCATTATTCACACAAATTTCGGTTTGAATGAAAAATCGTCAGTCATGGGCCAACCTAATACTTGCCTTCCATCCAGCGTCAATTAGGAGTCCACCGAACCTTTCATTTTTTCATTTCACTTTCCCTCTGCTTCCGATGTTTCTATATTGATGATGTAGCTGTTCTCCATGTTGACGTACCTTCAAGGTGCAGCATCGTTGTACCAAACCCATCGAGTGGGTCGAAGTTGGTCGCTAAAGATGGGTGGGGGGGGGAGTTGTAAGCGCAGGATTGATCAGCGCAAAGTCTAGCTCCACGTTCAGTGGAGAGGAAATTTACAGGTACACTTTTCCAGGCCTGTGTAGACGAGTGTAAAATGCGGGGCACGCTCATGAAATCAATCCATGATAACCAAAAGTTTGACTGGAATACATGTTTTGAAAGCTTTCAAACTTCAGGAATGAGTTTTCTTACAATAGCGCAGAATGAGTCGAGCTTCTGACTAGCAGAGATTTCCGCTCGTCGAAACCCGTCCAGAATATCTCCTGAACTAATGAACTAACACGTCTTCAGGAAAACTGTAGCACCTCTGAAAAGAAAAAGCTTCGCGCTTCGTGAAGACGTTTTTGATTCTGCGAGAGATCGCGTATCATGGAGTTATTGTCGTCTGAAACATGAATCCCCGTGTAAAATTTGCCATAAACTCAGAGTCATCCC